CGAAAGGGTTTTTAACAAAGAGGAGGGTTTTAGTGAAGTAGCAGTGGTTTTTCTTTGAACGTTTTCCCATATTTTTTGTTAAGTATATTACTTCCAAATAATCCTTATAATAGAGTTCTGATGATACTGATACGTAAGACATGTATAAATAGCATAAGCTATGGGCCAAACTACTTTAAAGGCTTCTATTTGTGAAAATGATCCACCTTTTTGCTTACGTTCATTGTTTCATTATAAATTTTTAAACAATATAACATTGTTCTTGTTTGTTTCTAAGGTTTATCAATAAAATCATACTTAGTTTCTAGAAAGTGTTAATCCAGTGTTTGTTTTTAGTAACTGACGCGACCTAAGGAGTGTTAGATAGGTGGTCAAAGGAGTTGGAGGCACGTTAGAAATTAAGATTTTGTTATTTAACTATATGCATAGTTGAAGGACTATCATATATGTGGAGTGCCCAAAAAGTGTCAATTTCTGACATGTGTCTCACTCGGATATGGAACCCTTGAAATCTCCATTCTTCTTAGCAAGTTACTGAAAAGATGGTCTCAAATTGAGGATTTCCCAAAATTGGAAAAGCATACCCCAAGGCCATAACACAAGTTACTAATAAGATGCATGTAAGGTTACAGAAGAGAGAAAAGAATGAAATTACATGAATTTGCTTCAGTTTTCATCATGTAATATAGCTTGACAAAATCTTTATATAAATTGATGTGATAGTAAGTTATTGATGTGGCTTTCTTCTTTCCTTTTTTTTTAAACAGGGTAGTCTCTTCAAAGGCAAGGCCAGAAGTCAAAATGTTATTCCCACAGTCATACTCAAGATAGAATTTCAATAAACCATGGTCTTTTTAATAATGACAAGTCTTTAGGATAGGATGTTATGAGTATGGAAATAAGTCATTAACATAGGAAATGATGACTAAGGAAACTTAAACACAAAATTCTGAAGTTCTGCATTTCCTATTATATCATCTTTCCCAGTGATTAAATCCATGGAGAAGAATATCCTAGTGTATTTCATAAATTATGTATTCACACTGCCACTCATAATGGTTATTGTCTGGAATATAACCATTGTAACACCTTCACACAATAAATAACCTAACACATAGATCAATATTCCTTCACACTGTAACACCTTCACACTGTAAATTTCCTAACACCTTCAATTGTAATATGGAATATAAGCACATACCAAAATTCCTAATGCACAAAAAACATAATTTAATCCCAAAATAGCATTCAGTATGCACTAGGATATTATGAATAAAATTTAAAAATTTAATTTACCTTCAAACTGTAAATTTTTGAAGTAAGGATACAGTTCAAATTACTCGAAGCATTAATGAGGATTGAAAATTTTATAAAATTGAGAATTTTCGGAATTACAGAGTAAGGGGATTTAGGCAATGAGGATTGAAATTTTGAGTTACAGTTGGGGATTTCTGAATTCAACAGTGATGGGGATTGGGCAATGAGAATATTTTTCTAAACTTGAGAATTTCCTGAATTATAGAGTCAATTGTAGCGTACTTGGTTAAATAGAAAGCTTTTTGTTCAATATGTGAAGCCATGTCTTCTCCTTGCTTTAGACCTAGGCCATGGGTGTGTACTAGTCCATTGCACAATTTGAAAAAACACCGAGTAAGCTAGGGCTTATTAAGAATCTCATAGCTGGAATTAGGGCTCAAAAGGAACCTCAGACAAATCTCATAGCCGAATCTTGCAGAAGATCTCAGTTGTCTTTTGCGAACAAACTTAGGGCCATGTTTGGATTTTCGTAGTTAGGGTGTGTGCATTTAATGGCTGAGCTTAGAAGATGGCGAAAGCAAAGATAATAGTAAAAGAGAGAAGAAGAGTCACATCAGAGAGAAGAGAGACAAAGGTCTGAGTATTCGCCTTCCACAAAGAGAAGAAATGAGAGAGAGGCGAAACTTGTGAAATAACAGAAAGGGTGCCTGGTGGGAGTAGAAATATTCGAATGAAAGCGGATTTATTATATCCGCTTCATTTGATAAAGCAGACTTACGCTTTCTATTTAAAAACGCATTTGTGTAATACGATTATTCAAGTAAAAGTAGATTTTATAAATACGCTTCAATAATAAAAATAGATTTCTTGATTCCGCTTTACAACATGAAGTCATACTTGTTGATTCCGCATTCAAAATGAAGTCATACTTGTTGATTCCGCTTTCAAATGAAGTTGGATTTATTGATTTCGCTTTTAAAAAGTGTCATAGATTAGTAAATAAGTTCAAAACTATTGTATTTTGGTATTAAAGTTTTAAAAAAACTGTGTTTTGATAATAGATTCGAGGTTTTAAGGGGTGGTTCTTGGGTGAAGGTGGGTTTAGGAGGGGAGGGAATGATGGGTGGATTGTCGAGAGGGTCCAACTTGGTGGGGTGCATGGTTCTCACAATTGCAACATTTTTAGATGTTTCGTGCATTGCATGAGGTATTGCTAGTATAAATAAGAGAAATTTGGAGGCCGGTCACCCTATATGTACTTGTTTGGACTTAAATTCGTCAAAAAAACTTATTTTTTATATAATAACATTTAAACATAAAAAAATAGTAACATATTCATTCAATATTAATATTTTTTAAAAAAATAACAATAGTAACATATTCAACAAAAAATAGTAACATGTTCAACAAAAATAATAACATACTTAACCAAAACAGTAACATGTTTAACAAAAATAGTAATATGCTTCACAAAAAAAAAAAATAGCAATGTGGAACATTGAATAAAATTGAAAATAAAAATAATAGCATTTTAATCCATAACCAGAGGAAGAAGCCTCCAAGTTTTCAAAATTTTCATTGTTTTTTGTATTCCTAATTAAATAATATAGGTTTCAATTTTTTTGGATATTTTGTTGTGTAATACAATCAAAAAATATTTGATTGTGTTACTTGTGGGAAAAAGTTGATGTAACTATAAGAGAAAATAAAAATTATTTTTACATATTCGATATTTTGATATTCACAAGTGATGATGAATGTCCTAATTTAACTGATGATTATGTGTTACTACTCTAAATAATGTAATTTTTGAATTTATGGACCGTATTTTTGTGAAAAGTAAGCGAAAATTATTGTTACTGTGAAGGAAAAAAATATTTCATTGATGTTATTGCGTTAAAAAATATCTTGTTAATATTACTATACAACATATATCCTCCTGAATTTTGTTAAAGTCGTGTTGTTACTGTGCATAAAAATTTGATGTTACTGTGAAGAAAAAAATAGATGTTACATTATGATTTGCAATTGTTATTGTAAAGGTTTGTATTTATTATTGAATGAGAGGATCTTCTTCTAAAGCGAGAGAGAGAGAGAGAGAGTATAAATTTCAATTTCAATTTAGGAGTAAATTAAGGAATAATAATTTCTAATTTAAGAAATTAATTTCAAACTACTTTCAAGGTCTTTAAGGTTTCTATAATTGAATACAATAACACTTAAGGATATTTTTTGGATTTAAAAAAATAGTAGACTTAAATACTTATTAGTAAGATAAAAAGGGATTTATCACCAAATAAGTTTTCTTGACGGAGTCAAATCATTATAAATCCATCTAGGAGGATTCAACCTCAATTTTCACTTTAAATAAATGTATAGATGTAATTATTTTTCCTAAAAATTAAGAGAGTAGTATTTTTAGAGCATTTCTAATAAGTTCTTTATTGTCACTCAATTAACTATTTTAGAGAGTCAACTGTTAAAATTTCATTTTCAATAGACTTTTTTATTTAGACTCTTTAAAATAAAGAGTTTAATTTGACTATCACTTTCTACTTTATTTTTTTAGAATAGAAAAAGGTATGTTTGTCTTTTCATTGAACACATTCAAGATGAAACATATCTCCAAGGGTGACAATTATGTCTTATCAGGTTGGGTCGTATCATTTTGGATTCATGTCGATTACTAGTTAATTCTAATTCAACCTGTTTAATTAATCATTTCGTGTCGTGTCAGGTCGACTTATTTATTTTCGTATCTTGTTCGTGTTGACCCATATAACCTGTGACTAAAAAATTTAATGCTTTGTTTTATGTTTAAAATTTCATTATCATTTAATCGAATTTATGCTCATATTTTTTAAATAAACTAAAAATTAACTTAATATAAAAAAAATAAGTAAAAATATTTTTTTTGTACAAGAATTAGGTCACTTCTTGATAAAATATAAATAAAAATTGGCATTTTATTCTTATAATATTATTTAAATGTGTTAATCATGTCAATTTCGTATTGTTTGTGATTGACATTAACTCAAACCATTTCTTATTTGTGTTAACAGGTTGTGTCAAGAAATGACTAATCTTATCCCGCTAATTTCATGTCGATTTAAAATCATGTTTTTGTATTATGTCAAAATTTGTCATCCCTACATATTTCAATGCTAAAAAGGAGGGACAAAGAACAGAAATCAAATTTATTCTTTAAAAAAACTATAAAATAATAAATTAATAAGAACAAAGAATCTTATCTGAGTGATTTACAAAATTTTACTATTTATTTTAATTTTTTGTCAAAGATACTCTTTATTTTAAAAAAGATGCTCCCTATTTTAGAGATTACTCATAGAGATATTCTTCTTAGCCAATAATAGGACAAGTCATCTAATTTTTTGCGTAAAAACACCTGAACCTGAAATTTGAAGTGCTGCATTTAAGTTTGTGTTGATTGATCAAGGGTTAGGTTAGGTTAGGTTAGGCTCATCTCAAATTTCAAAATAATTGGATGATCTTGTGATTTCTTTTTAAATGGCAAGGTTCTGTTCACACGTTAGTAGTTTAATTTACTTTAATTTTTTAAAAAAATTTCTGACATGGATAAATTCTCGCCACTTTAAAAGAACTAAAGGATCCTGCTACGAAATAGAGGGGAGCCAAAATCAAATAGCTCGTGCCACACTGTTGTGATTCTGGGAATTTAGTCAATGTGTGGCAAAGTCTGTTTTCGATTCAATGGTTGTGATCGATACAAAATAACATTTTCCGACATGCATATGGCATAGACTAGAAAGATGGGAAGCATTTCGTTAACGTAAATCCTCTTAAAGATATGCCAGAAATTAAGATTTGTAACCATCGAGGAGAAAAAAAACATCACGTGAAGGTTTTGCTGCAAAACATGTGAAAAGGTATATGCATCTGATCTTATCTCGTTCAATCTCATAATTTTGTACAACTACGCTATAGGAAAGAAATACTCAGAACAAGAGAAGGCACAAAACAAAGCAACAAAAAAGGAACATTGATACTCTGTCGAGAGACTTGTCCACCTGCATTTCCTGCCTTCTTATTCTAGGGCTGCCACTTCCCGAACGAGGAGGTGAAGAATTCGGGTGTGCATAAGTAAATAATCTTGTGTCTGAGCTCCCAAACATCCTTGCAAATGCCATCTCTCCAAACATCCCAACTGTTGGGCTGAAGAAACTTGTCATTGCAGTAATTGCGGTGCTCCCAAAGCTAGATGATGACATAGAAGCATAATTGCCAAAAGGGTGAGCGAAATATTGTGGGTGCTGAGCCTGATATGGATAGGAAGGCATCGATGTTGCAGTAGTAAGCAGTGTGCTCGCCCCAAAAGCGGGTGGTCTGTTGGGGATGATCGGATTCAGTTGGGACCTCTTGGCTTCGCATTCCGATGGGGATGCACCGTGCCCATATAGGGGGATCAATGAGGAGGTGGAGATGTTTGCTTTACAGATGGGGCACTTGGGCCACTCTTTTGGTTCAATGGAGGAACTTCGGACATGGAGCCATTTGTAAATGCAAGGCCAGCAGTAGAGGTGACCGCAGACGGTCACCACAGGGTCATGTGCTGAGTCTAGACAAATATTGCAATCGAAACATCCATTTACATTTTCTAAAGCCGTTGTTGGACCTGAATCTAACTTCCACTTTTGCTCGACACAAATATCTCCAATAGATTCAATAGGCACCATGGATTGTTGGAAGTTTTGTTCCAATGCCATAAGCTCTGTTTCAAAAGAAAGCAGATTACAATGCAGATCTAAAATTCCATAAACAATGTGGATGAATTTTCACCATGACCCATAGAATCCTATTCCTATATGCCCCATCCAAGTCATTCAACTAAATTGCTTTGTTGTGGCCTCACCACAAAGAAATTCCCAAATTTTCAAAAATGAAACCATATAATAAAATAGTGTATAAAAGTCTCGAATCATATAAAAGTCTAACAACAGGCCAAATCGTTTACTTATTCTAACTTTTAGCCACAACTAATCTTTTCATCACAATTACCCCTAATAAATATTTTAACTACAGTAAAAATTTGAACCACCATAAAAATAAAAAAAAAGTATTGTACAGTTATGTACGTGCGCAATGCGCATGACACCAACAAAATTAAGAAGTTCATCAAAGTTAGACAAGGTTTGAGTTCAAATGCTATAAAGTCAAGAACTTCATCAGTAACTTTCGTCGACAGAGAAGAAACCGAAAATAGTTAAAAAGGATTTGGCGTCACAACAAGACACGATCCAATGCTACAACATTCAAAAAGTTCCCAACCTAATCTAAAGTCGCGGAGGATAGAACATCATAATTAAAACGCGCGGAGAAAGAAATTTTATATGGAAAACTGCAACTTCATTCCGTTTACACCTAAACAGGCAAATTTTGAGTTCAAGAAAAAGGCTGAAAATCATTTAATCCGGTAAGTTGATAGAAAAATGAAGCATCAATTTCGGTGATTTGGTTCAGGAATCAGAAGAGGAGGAGATAAGCTGTTGAGCAAAATGTTTTGGAATCAATAGGTTAGGTACATTGGAAATTTAATTTCATTTTCCAGAGTTTCATTGCAAAATGGATCGAGAAAACATCAATTTCAATGCATAGAAAAAAAAAGTTATTAAAGACAAGCAATAGAGAACATACCGATATAGATCTAAGACCTGCTAAGCTGTAAAAAATATATCTCCAGGTGCAGAGACGGGGGTTTATCGGCAATGGCGATTCTAGAGAAAGAAATGTTTGCAGAGAGAGAGAGAAAGAGAGAATTGTTTGCAGAGAGAGAGATGAAGCAAGGGGATGGCTGGGAGCTGCTGGAGGAACGCTTTTAAAGTTGGGATCGACCGCGTAAATTGCTCATCCCTATACCAAACGTACGTATTTGGATAAGTTGACACGTGGCACGTACATATTTTTCCAAGTGAAATTCATTTTATACATTTGTGGTTTTTTTTTTAATTAATGATATTATATTATCAATATTGACATAATAATTTCGAATATTCTATCGTGTGAGATAGAGTAGTAATTTTTTTTGTGGGGGATAAATCTCATAATGCCTTGAATTATGGCCTTGTCCTCTAAATTTTTAATTACCTCAATTTATCCATTGAACTACGTAATTTATTTTAATCAATTCCTTTTGTTAAGATTAATTATTAAGTGTGACAAATTCTATTAAAATTAATTATTAAATGAGATAAGTTTTATTAAAATTAATTATTATTTTATCGTATTTATCATTTAATCTTAGTCAAATATGTCTTGTTTAACGGTTAGTATTTGTGGAACCCATTTCATTTAAAGGTTAATCTCAATAGATTTATCCTTTTATCAATAAAGTTACCGTATTTGAAAAATTACAATGACACCTCCTTGAGTTTAATTTTGAGTCAAGTTACAATTTTTTAGGGTATTGGGGATTGATCATAAAATATTATGATTAATTTAAAAACTTGTAATTTGACCTTTAAAGTTTATAATTTTATACCAAAAAAATATAACGTGATTCAAAAGAGTTGTATATAGATATGTGTGTGTAACATTACAATATTTTCTTCATTTTTTTGGTAAATTATCTATAAGTAATTTAAGTAAGACATATTATTATATATAAATGAGTCTTTTATTTATTAATAATGAATAATTTATAAATAAAATATAAAAAATCTAGATTCGTGTAAAAGGCAGGTTAGTTTATTATAGAAGTTTCGTATCAACCGTTGAATATTTTTGTATGGATAAGATTAGGATAGCAAACTTAATATTGAACTTCTGTCAATTGATTTGCATTGCGTCAAGGGTGACGTGTTTTCCCGACAAGTGGACGAAACATGGCCGACCAGAAAGGTTAGAGGATAAGATTGCCACGTGTTGATCTTATCTGGATCTGGATGGCCACTTCATCTATCATTCGAGTAATGTTTCCAAAATTGTGGGGACAAGGGAAAGGCATCCACGGTCCTTCTCCAACTTTCAATCAAAAGATCCGATCAATCTTTTATTGTTTCCAATCACTTTCAACCAATGATCCCATCAATAATCATAGGCTTTTGGAGAAAATTATTTTATGTAATTAATTACTTTAAGGATCCCATGTCTTTTATGTATAAGACACTGAATCTACGATGTTAAAGACCAAATTTCGTCAATTAGTTCATCTCAATTTATATTAGAATTAACCATTACATTGTGTATGAGATTAATTGGAACATTGTCTGCGACTTTCTATGGTTGATGAACAAAGGAGATGACTTATAAGTTAAATTAAAACAACTTGATATTATATATATGAGTAGAATAATCAAAGAGAATATGACTCGGTGCACTTTGCGAGAAAGGGAGAAAAAAAAGAAGATCAAAAGTTAATCCTTAACAAATGCAATGAGTGCACTATATTTGTGGGGGAGGACTTGACTACGGTATCAATAAATAAAATTGGATATCGATAAGAAAAATTCGGTATTTTATTTTCACAATTTATTATTCAAATTCATCCAATTAGTATTCTGCTTATCAAATTAATATTTAATTTCATCCAGTTATCATTCTACCAATCAAATTAACATTCACTTTCATTCAGTTAACATTCAATTAATTAAATAAATATTAAATTGAAATTCACATTTATCAAATTAACATTTAATTTTATCCAGTTAGCAATCAATTCATTAAATTAACACAAAATTAATAAATTTTAACATTCAATTTCACTAAATTTGCATTCGATTTTTAATTTTTAGGAATTGAACATCTAACCTCTTGGGGGGGGGGGGGGAGAGTATTAAAGGGTGACAAATTTGGCTAGTTTGATAAACTTAATTTGTCGATCAATTTAGTATTAATTTGATGAATGACATTTAATAAATAAAATTGAAGGTAAATTAGTTGTTCATTTGCTGAAATTTACTTTTGAATTGATAAAATCAAATACTAATTTAGTATTTATTTAATGAATTAGATCTCAATTGGATGAAATTAAATGTTCTATTCATGAATTTTGATGTTAATTTGATAAATTGGACGGTTAATTTGGTGTTACTTTAATGAATTGAATCTTAATTGAATGTTAAGTTCATGAATATCAATGATAATTTGATAAAATTGGTGGTTAATTTGGTGAAATTGAATTTTGAAAAAGTAAAATTGAAGGTAAATTTGGTGTTAATTAGATAAAATTAAATGTTAATTCGCTATTAATACGAGATATTGGATCTCAGTTGGATGAAATTAAATGTTAAATCCATAAATTTTAATGTTAATTTGATAAAATTTATGATCAATTTGGTATTAATTTGATGAAATTGAATTTTAATAAGTAAAATTGAAGTTGAATTTGCGTTAATTTGATAAAATCGAATGTTAATTTGTTGTTTCTTTGATAAATTGGAACTTAATTGGATGAAATTGAATGTTAAATTCAAGAAATTTAATTTTAATTTGATAACATTAACGCTCAATTTGGTGTTAATTTGATGACATTTTTTGTTAATAAATAAAATTGAAAGTTAATTTGGTGTTAATTTGATAAAATTTGATTTTGAATTAATGAATTCAAATGTTGATTTAATGGATTAGATCTCAATCAGATGAAATTGAATTTTAATGTTATTTTGATAAAATTGATTGTCAATATGGTTTTAATTTTATGAATATAAAAATAAATTAAATTGATGGTGAATTTGGTTTTAATTTGATGAAATATTATTTTGAGTTGATGAAATTAAATAATGATTTGATGTTTATTTGGATGCAATTGAATGTTAAAATAAATGTCAATGTTAATTGATAAAATTGATGGTCAATTTGGTATTAATTTTATAAAATTGAATTTTAATAAATAAAATTGAAGGTGAATTTGGTGTTAATTTGATGAAATTAATATTATTTAATGTTAATTTGATAAAAAAAAACGTTAATTAGATGAATTCGAATATTTCTTTCTTTTACGGTGTAACTAGCACTATTTAGAATATAGTGAAGCTATCACAAACATCTACAATCAATCGCAAGGTTATTGGAGTCTCTCCCACAACTAATTTCCTTACCCAATTCTTAGTAATTCGCCACAATCTTATTAAAACCTAAACATTATGTGATGGATCACAATTGCTTACATTTAGGATGATAATACAACTTCTGAGGTTATGATTACGCAACTCATATGATTATGTTTACAAGGTATTGGGATATAGTTATCACTCTTGGGGTTATGTTTACAACTCGTGGGGATATGTTTACAACTCGTGGGGATATGATTATAACTCATAGAGCTCGTTTGGTTGCCGTATTAGAAATGGATGGATTAGATAAAATAATTCGGTCTAATACCGTACAGAAGGACAAAAGACAAGACTAAATATGATATTAGAATAATACATAATTTTATCTTGTGTTTGATAATACACAACAAAAACGTTGGATAGTAATTATTTAATCAAATCGGTTGTTTGATTAAGGAATTATTTTATGGTATTAATATTAAATTAACAAAAATACCCTTAATCAATGTTTGTTACATTGATGACATTTTAATTTTATCAGTTAGAGGGTTATAATGGTAAATGTGCAAAATAATACGTTTGAGTTGAATTATAATACCACATCTTTTGGTGGTATTAAAATACTTCCATAATACAGGTCTAACGTATAAAAAATATACGATAAAGATACGATAAGTATACGTTTTTGAAATTAATACGGTGTCAAACTTACTTACCAAACAAAGTATTATGTCTGATTAAATAAAAAATAATACAATTCAATATTTAATTCCCTCATAATACGTCTACCAAACGAACCCATAGGGGATAGTTTACTACTCTCAGGATTATGTTTACAAGTACTAAGGATATGATTACCACACTCATGGGGCATGGTTACCACTTACAGGGCTTGGTTATTACTCAGGAAGGTGGTTTACTACTCATCAGGTTACTTTTATTTTGATTAATATTATGATAACTAATAAGGTAAAATTTTGAGCGTGGACCACCAGTAAGTCCAAAGTCCAAAAAGTCATGAGGAATCAGAGGAAAACCCATTAGCCCAACCTGGAGCGCCTCCTACTGAGCCAAGACAGAGAGCTGAAAGGATAAGCCCCGACGAGCACCCAAGGGATAGTGGTCCAAACCCGGCCTAATTAGGTGCTTGCTAAAGGGCAATTCGAAGAGAAGGAATCAGATCTTTGCCTCAAAGCTACCCCGCCATGCTATACGTCTAGAGGACAAGGGGACCATCTCTGAAACCAACGATAGGTACATCCTTCAACATGCAGAAGATGGTGGAGCATAACGCCCCAGAGATTGTGGGCGCAGTGGCGTCGGTTGGAAAAGGCTTTTGCAGGACAAGGACAAGAAGTCCCCACATGATCGGTAAAAGGTAGAAGGAATCGCCAGGAATCACAAAGAGAAACGACTCATATATATATAGAATAATACCCTACAGAAGAGAGGGATCCCACAGAACCAAAAACAACCGTGAACATAACCTAATAAGCTTAGGGCCATCTGTAAGGGCCCAATGCCTGAATCCCTACTGTATTCATTGACGTTGCAATATAAAAAGTCAAGGAGTAAGAGATTCCATTACAGTGGATGTAACCTTGGTCTACCGGCCAAGGCGAACCACTTATCTTTCTTGTTTTCTCTTGTTAAGAGAACCTAATCTACCAAACCTACTCTAACATCGCACCCAATAACCTCTCACGTGTTGGGCTTGGGTTGTGCTTTCTGAGACGCCATCAATAACTATGGGTAATAATACAAATTTAAAGATAAATGTACGACATTGGTAATATGTACTAGTGTCGTATTTACGACAA